AAGTAATATCTGTTATCTTCTCTTTCCTGGGGGCAGCAGAAGAGAAGATTCTGATTGCTCTTTGGACTGGATAGAGTAACTTTTGTCAGGTGCAGTTGCTCCTATTTGTGTAAGCAGACACTGGTTTATTGTAGAATCACAAGTTAAAGGAGGGGTGGGCCAGCCCTGCAGTGCAGGAGTTAAGCACTATGCACAGGTAGCTGGATCCCATATGGCTGACCCTAGTTCATGTCCTGGTCCTAGCAGCTTGAGGAACAGGCCAGGTTCATGTGCATGTGTGTCCCAAATCCGGACAAGATGGTGTAATGGAGGAGAAAGAATTGGGGTATGACCATACCCCATTGGAGGAATGCTTTCTCTCTCTCTCTGCCTGTTTTTCTTTCTCCTTCTCTCTGTCTGGCACATGCCTTCTAGCAATAATTTTTAAAATTTTTTTAAATATATAAGGAAAAGTTAAAGAATAAAGTTTATTTGGTGTTTCATTATAAATGCACAATTAAAAAAAATTTTTTTTGGAGATGTTTTTGCTATAGGGTTTGTGCTCTCACCAGAAAGACAAAGAGAGACAGACAGAAAGGGAGAAATCACCCCCCAGGGGGGGTGGCCACGTCACAATCCCTTCTCCTCCATTCTTCTCTTGGGATCTTGGGCACACACCCACACGTGCCCAGCATGAGTTTAAGCCAGCGGGTCTGCGCCTCGAACCGTGGTCAACTACATGGGAGTCCAGCGACATAGCCATTATGCTAATTGCTGGTCCCTAAATGCACAATTATTAAACTGATTATTCTGCAGATAGATATGGGGGGAGCCCAGGTCCTAGAATGTTCATTAAAGTCCCAAGATAGACAGCAGACTAGAAACTAATCTTTCCTCCAAAAAGACTGGACCAGAGGTGGAGAGGCCTCTACATCTGAAGGAAAACAGTTCTGAACATAACCTCCCAACAAACAGGGATTATGACCATGAGAGAGAAAGTCAGATATACCATAGTCAGATGTAGCCCTGACACAAGAGGTTGATATGCATTTCAGTCATGTAACAGTGAAGTGTGAACATAAAACATGTATTTAAACATGTAGTACATTCTTACAGAAAAGCAGCATCTCTCTGATGGACCATGCCTGACTCACAGCAATTACGTACTGACAAATACATTAATTGTTATAGGCAGTTATTTGAAAAATTGTAAATGAAAACCTCTGCTGGGCCAGCAGATGGCATGGAGGTTAAGGTGCTAGGACCCACATGGCCAGCTTCACATTCAAGTCCTAGATGTGGTAGCTTGAGAATCACACCACGAGTATGTACATGTATGCCCCAAATCCAAAGAGCAAAGTGGAGGAGAAGGGATTGTGGTGTGAGTATCCCCCCCACACACACACCCGGGGATGGTTTCTCACTTTCCATCTCTCTCTATCTTTCTTTCTCTCTTCAGTGAGCACATGTACCCTATAGCAACAAAACAAAACAAAACAAAACAAAAAAACTGCTTTGCTTAAGACTTCTACAATTCCAAAACATGTTCTCTCCCAATGTTGTCTAACTATTGGTCTTTAAATATCTATTCAGTTGGCGATTTTTACAGATTTGTGTGCTACAGAATGAAAAGGGATAATGATTAACTTCTTGGATGGTCAACTGTGGTGGGTTCAGGTCTTGAGAAGGTCTTTGCTAGTCTTCATTTATTTTGTTTATTTATTTTTGTAGTAATCACCATTCTAATTGGGGTGAGGTGATACTTCATTGTGGTATCAGCTCAGCCCAAGTAGCATCAACAAGAAGACAGGAAATGTTCAGTAACTTAATGGAACCAGAATGATCTTGGGATATTAGGGAGAGATCACTGAGAAGAGGAACACTGATGGGCCCTCACCAACTTCTTGACTCTTTCTATCCAAGGGAAGGATATGGTCCAGCCTCATAAAAAAAAGATCTTTCCCACTGGTATACATATATACATAGTTATGGAGCCACGGATCTCTCCCGGAACCTAGTTTACCATGGAAAAATGACATAGACTTTGTGAAAGAGTCACTTTATCCTCCATACATAACCCTTAAATGTGATTTAATACTCTGAAGAAAGAGTCATGTTTCACTTATGTTTTTCCTTATCTTAATCTATCTTGTAACATATAATAACTATTTATTTTTGCTCACAAATGACAAGGCTAATTGCTGACAAGAAGGCTTCCACTAGTATAATATAAAAGGTCTATTCCCCCTTAAATAGCTGAGAGCGTTTGAAAGAGGGGAGGAACTTAAAGAAGGAGTTGGCATTCATTGACTGTGCTTTGGAAGGACCCCTGAAGAGGTGCCCTCCAGAAGCCTGCTTAAGTGAAGCATAAAATAATAGAAAGAGCATGGCTGGACTGGAACCCTGGGAAAGTTACTCAGTTTCTTTAAGCATTTGTTTCCTCATCTGTAAAACAGAAAATAATGCCTAGTCTAACTGAAAATCTCCTCTAAAGGGATTTTTTTGTAATATAGGAGCTATTGTAGGTCACATGCTCAGCACATGGCTGGCAAGTAGTGGTCATGCAATAAATCATCTCTCTGTAGTGTTATGGTTGATTTGTATTTTCAAGGGTTGTGGTGGTTTTTATTAACTCAGAACATAATATAATGTCATATCATTTATTCTTTTAAAACTAGCTTCTGTCAACTGACAGGCTACATAATTCAAGACTGTTAAAATATCTTAATACTTTTTAATATGTGTTTGTGCCTTCCTTCTGGAAAATTGAAAGTACTTGGGCCAGATGGCAAGTTGTATAACTGGATGCCTACTCAGTACAATTCTCCAGGGCTCTGAACTTCCGTTGGGTATAAAATAGAGCTCCCACTCTGAAACTAGTATTTTAGGTAATCATTAACTTATGTGTTTATTCATTCATTCATCATTTATCTCAAAAAGATATTGAGTGCTGATTAACACTGGGTGTGGGATGCACAGCCAAAAGCGTCTCAGGAAGTTGGTCGAGAGTAAAGACTTTACCTGCTGGCTCCTGCCTCTCCTCGTTCAGAGCTCTGCCATATGGGAACTCACCTGTGTTTCTGGTCTACATAAGCGTGGGAAGGGGGTGACTGTGCAAAACCTGCTTCAGCACCAGCAGGGGAGGCCTGGAAGGGGCTAGAAGAGTGTGGATGAGGGCTCTCGGGCCTGTGAGTATGACTCCCCATAGCATCAGAGGATGCCGGGATTCACCTTACAGAGCCTCTCGGTAACCCAGAGCACTCCCAGCTCCCTTTCGGGTTCACTTTCACAGTGGCTGTTTTATTTGCCACCTTGTACGTAACAAGTTGGTTCTGTGTTCTAAATGGTCTCTCTTAAAGATTCTTCTGTAACTTTTACACACAAGGTGTTTTGTTTTGTTTTTCCACCTTCATCCCTAGCATGTCTATTTTTTATAATGGAAGATTTGTTGACTTTTTTTTTTTTTTTAGGGCACTTTCACAAGATGATCAAGATGACATCCACCTAAAATTAGAGGATATAATTCAAATGGTACGTTCAGCCAGTGCTATCCAGTAAGTTATGTGCACACTAACCCTCAAAGGCGAGCAATATGCTTGTCACTAATTATGTAGTGTTTGACCACACGTTCTGCCTGTGGGGCTCTGTGGGTTAAACCACCTTGGTCTGGGAGTCTAGCATTGGTCCAGGATATGAATGTTGGCTTTGATATTTTTGAGCTTTCCACGATTTTCTTTCATAGCTAGAACCTCGTGATGGGCTTCCCACTCCCACAGTGCAGGTGCCTTGCTCCTGGTGTGTCTCATTTCCCTCCCTCATCTCTTACAGACTGACTGTCTGAAAGCCGAGTGCTTTGAAACCTTGTCGGCAATGGAGCTGGCTGAGCAGATCACCCTCCTGGACCACATCATTTTCCGAAGCATTCCCTACGAGTGAGTGCCACACCTCACAGCAGTAGGGGCTGCACTGGCTGACCTAGAAGCTCACAGAATTCCTAAAGCTGTGCGTGTGTGTACAAGAGTGCACGCACACAGAGATGCCCACTTCAGATGGTTTGACCCTGCGCGGATGTCTCTTGGTCCTGTTTATGTTGGACATACTGATTTGGGGACTGTTAAGATGACCACTGTCTTAGTCTGTTATTGCTAATAGAAATGGCTGAGACTGGGCAAATTTAAGAGGATAGACCTTTATTTGTAAAACTGGTAATTTGGGGTTTGGAAAACAAAGGCATAGGTTTCATAGCATGCCTACAGAAGCATAGAGGGTGGAGGGGGGTACAGAGAGAGAGCAAGCTGTGGGCAGTTCTCTCACTTTTATAACAATCAGCTGTCTCAAGAACTAATCCCTTCTTTTTTTGAGAGAGAGATTTTTTTGCTATAGGGTACATACACTTTGCCGAAAAGACAGAGACAGAAAATGAGAAATCACCCTCCGCGGGGTGGGGGTGGGTGGGGGGTGGGGGGGCTGGTAGTGGCCACACCGCAATCCCTTCTCCTTCATTGTCCTCTTGGGATGATGAGCACACATGCACTTGCGCCTGGCGTGAGTGTTAAGACACCAAGTGTGGGACTTGAACTGCAGTTGACTATGTGAGAGTCCAGAGATGTAACCTTTACACCATCTGCTGGCCCCTAACTCCTTCTTTTTATTTATTTTTTAAAAAGTTTTTGCCACAGGGTGCATCTGCTCACCAGAGGGAGACAAAGAAAGACAGTGAAAGGGAAAGTAAGAAATCACTCACCAGGGGGTATGGCCACACCCAATCCCTTCTCCACCATTCCTCTCCTGGGATTTGGGGCATGCACCCACGTGTGCCTGGCATGATTTCCAAGTCACCAGGTCCAGGACTCAAACTGTCATCAACCACGGGGGAGTATACCTTAACCACCCACACCACCTGCTGCCCCTGAATTAACCCCTTATGAGAGCTGGAATCACTGAATCTTATTTACAAGAGTGTTGCCTCCATGGTGCAAAGACCATGACCCAATCATTACTTACTATGCCTCACCACTTCCCAACACCAGATTCCAAAACAGAAAACTTTGGAGGACAAACCACGAATCGTAATAGTCACTCTTGTGTTTCTATCTGTACTGTGATTATCAGAGCATGTGAATTTCTCTGTATTCTCCTCTTAACTTATTACAGGAACTTCAACACAGCTACAACAGATTATCACACTTCAGTGAACCTAAAGACATTTGGGAAGCTTGTTAAAAACGTGCATTCCTAGGGACCAGCAGTTGGCATAATGGCTATGTTGGTGAACTCCCATGTGCTCAACAAATGTTTGAGTCCCAAACCGGTGGCTTAAACTCACACCAGGTGCATGTGCGTGCATGCCCATGATCCCAAGAGGAGAATGGAGAAGAAGGGATTGCAGTGTGGCCATCTCCCCTGAGAGTACACTCCTAGATTCCTCCCTCAGAATTCTTTGTTTTTTTTGTTCTTGTTGTTGTTTTGGTATTTTTTTGGAGAGGTTTTTGCTATAGGGCGCGCGCGCTCGCCAGACAGACAGAGAGAGACATAGAGACAGAAAGCGAGAAATCACCCCCCAGGGGGAATGGTCACGCCGCAATCCCTTCTCCATTCTCCTCTCGGGATCTTGGGCACGCACGCACATGCGCTTGGCGTGAGTTCTAAGCCACTGGGTCCGGGACGCGAACCGCAGTCGACTACGTGGGAATCCAGCGACATAGCTATTACGCTAACTGCTGGTTCCCTCCCTCAGAATTCTTATTCTAGAAGGTTTGGTTGAAACCCAGGAAACTGTGTTTTTTTGTTTTTTTGTTTTTTTTTTTTGTTGTTGTTGTTTTTTTTGTTTGTTTGTTTTTGAGAGGTTTTTGCTATAGGGCACGTGCGCTCACCAGAAAGACAGAGACAGAGACAGAAAGCGAGAAATCACCCCCCAGGGGGGATGACCATGCTGCAATCCCTTCTCCTCCATTCTCCTCTTGGGATCCTGGGCACACACGCACACATGCCCAGTGTGAGTTTAAGCCACTGGGTCCAGGACTGAAACCACAGTCGACTACATGGGAGTATAGTGACATAGCCATTATGCCAACTGCTGGTCCCAGAAACTGTATTTTCAATGAGAACCCCAAGTAATTCTGCATTGCCCAGGACTAAACTTGAAGAAACCTAGAGCTAGGATAAACGCTGTAGATTCTGCCATAATTCTTCACCCATGCCCACACATCATTTTTTCTGAGCTTTGTGACCATGTGCTTCCTATACAGTCCTCATTCTTTCATGTGTGGAGTGAGAAGCTCTGTAAGCACCCCCCCTCCAGCTGTCATACTCAGTAGCTCTACAAACAAGGCCTTTGTCTGGACAAGTAGCAACTGTCAGCACATGCCTTCTATGAACTGATGGCTAAATTCAAGGCAATGGGATGGCTGCACAAAAATATGAATGTGGTCCATGTCATATGTAGAGCAGAGGCTGTCTGATGGTGGAAGTCAGGAGTGGACAGGGCAGAGAGATTAGGGAGGCAGAGCTACAGCTGTGTTGGAGAGGCATGAGGGCAGGGCCACCCGATACCCCGACGACTTTTCTTGTATATATTTTATCTTCTCTCCCTTCCCCTCTTCCAGTACTGATAGACCTCTCCATGAACATGAAAAAAAAAAAAAATCAAAGCAGGACTGTGGCCCATTGGCCATTCAAAAGAACTCAGTGACTATGTGAAGCCTTGAGTTAAAAACACAGTGTCTCTCCCCACTTCTGCTGCCTCTCCCCTCCCTTGACCCTCCAGCACAGTGAGGCTGGGGAATAGTGACCTCTGTGCAGGAGGAAGAGCAAAGCCAGAACCTTCCAGCAGAAGTCTCTTCCTGGACCCCTGCCACCTCTTCTTTCTGTCCCCTCTGTGCTTATGTGAACAACTATCAGTTATTTCTACCTGTGGAACTGAGGCCTTTATGTCCCACGCTGTAGGATGGGAGTAGTTCTAACAACAGCTAGGGACAGAAAACTGTATACAAGGGCTCAGCCAACATGTATATACAAAGCATGGGTCAGAGTAATTTCATTTCAAGATTTTTTTTTTTACTGCCTATGCAAAATAATTCTTGATGCTCCATCTTGATCATCCCTCGCTTGTTGTGGTGTGGTGACTTGCTCATGAATGAAACAGCAAACCTCTGAATAGGCCGAGCCCACACCACTTCACTGCCTAGGTCCACAGAATGTGCTGGAAAAGTGGAACAAGGTGCATTTATTCAGCCATACCTCATGCCCTGTTCTGAGCTCTGCGGAGAATGAAAGGAAGTTCCTTCCCTTGGAACCTATGTTCTCTGGACTACATTAGAACAACATGGAAGAAAAAAATTCTGTTCTTGATTAACATTTTTGGTAGTGATGGGTTGTTTTTGGACCCTCTGCTAATGGCTAACATTTTTAAAAACAGATCCAGGGAAAACAGTCTTGGTTTCTGAGTTAGTACTGAACCTTTTCATTTCCCTTGTGTTGGTTTTTGTTTTCCAACTTTAGAGAACCCTTTGTAGGATCAAAAAAGGGCCAAAGTTCTAAAGAGCTATAAGAGAAATCTGGACTCATAAAAGCCTCTTTCTTTTTGGCATTGAGTGTGAGATGGCAGAGTTTAACTACACTTCATTGGAGAGGTCTGTAGCAGCAGGTGTCAGGTAACATTCTAGGCAATGACAAATTTAACGTGTCTAATATTCACGATAATTATTCAGGATCACAGCCACCATTTTTTAAAAACTTACTTGGTTTTGTGTTTGTTTTGGAATTTTCAGAGAGTTTCTCGGGCAGGGGTGGATGAAACTGGATAAAAATGAAAGAACCCCTTACATTATGAAAACCAGCCAACACTTTAATGATGTGAGTAGTCATAAGAATACAACTCTGGACTTGTTACAAGAGGATGAATGTTGGGCTGTTATGTTTCTTCTCTAAACTAAAGCATTTTGAATAGAATCAGTGGAATATTACAGAAAAGCTTAAGTCTCCTCTAAGAGTTCATAGTGATGTAATAATTTCCAGTTAACTTCCTGAAATGAAACTTCACCTTCCATGGTGCCTAAGTCTGGTAAGTGCTTAGTTATGTAGAGGTTACTCTTATTTTTTTTAATCATAATCATCATTAATGCTTTGGGTTTTAAATCGACCAACAGATTGAGCAAGTTGTGCCACTAGCCCTGGTGGTGGTGGTGATAGTAAGGTTGGGTTGGTGCCACTCCTCCTCATCATTACTGAATATTTAGCTTGAATTATATTCTGGGATTGAAATGGACCTCTTAAAACATAATCATGGGCTGGCAGGTGGCATGGTGGTTGGGAGCACTGGATTCCCACATGGCCAACCATAGTTCAAGTCCTGGACCTGGTGGCTTGCTTTCTCACTTTCTGTCTGTCTCACTCTCTCACTCTGTCCCTCTCTGGTCAAAATAAAAAATAAAATTAATAAAGTTAAATAATTCTTAAAAACAACAACAACAAAAACACAGTCACTTTATCTCCCTGCTCTGTTGTTCTTTAGCACTAAGGTTAAGAGTTGCTTTTAGACCTCATTGGTTCTGTTCTAGTGGTCTTAGTCCTGTGGTAAAACAAGTAATAGATGTGGAAATGTCTTCAGGCTTGTCTAGGCAAAGGGAAGGCTCCCTTTTCAGTTCCACAAAGCTAGAGTAAAAGGAATAATGACGGTGTTACAAAACCAAAACCAAAACCAAAATAACTACTGGCAACACTGCAAGGGAATCAATAATCATCCAGAATCAAATCTAAAACAACAGGGTAGATTCCCAAGACTGGCTTTGCATGTTGAACGGAGGCCTCCCCATCATGGCTTCGATGCCACCACTGCTGAAAGGATGCCTGGCGTGTAACTCATCTAGGTCACTCTCCGAGAAGCAGAGCCCCTGCTGTGGAAAAGAAACCTCTGTTACCTGAGCTGTTCTTGCACATGGAATATATGTAACATAAGCACTCAAACTGGAGGTTCACTCCCAGGTGCCAGGCCCACCGATCTTTCCTGCATGGATGGTCACCACGCTGTGCTCTCAGCAGACAGCAGGTGGAACCTAACATCAGCACCCCAGACCTACCAAACCTGCTTCTCCACCTTCATCTCTGTCTCGAGACCTAATGGCTCACCATACTCTCAGTTCAATGATGTCCTAATGTCTCAATAATTATTTGCAATAACTTCTTTATTAAAATTACGAACCTGAACATAGGTTATCAGAGGTCATCTTTGACTCTCTCTCCATAACCCACCTCACCCTTACCATCCCACAATATATTCGTGAACCCTAAATCTACATATATCTCAGATCCCTCCTCACCTCATCTTCCCCACCTTGCAACCTTGACCTTTCACACTTTCAAATTCATCTCTCTCCGGCCATCTCCCTGCCCTCCGTCTGACTTGTCATCAGTGTCACCGAACTGACTTCTCTGAGTGGTCAATCTAATTATGTCACTCTGAAAAAAAAGCTGGTCATGGCTCCCTCTGCCTTCAGGATATGGCTCACCCTGGTGTCCAGAGCTCTGCCATCTGTCCTCTTTGTCTCTCACAGCCCTGTGCTCCCAGACAACTGTCAGCCAGTCTCTGGTACACCATGCCGTCTACTCTCCACTCTGCCCCTTTGCTTTTCTACTTTGATGGAAAGTAGCAGTTAAATCCTACTGAATCTTAAGAATCAATGCAGGTGTGATAATTTCCAGAAACCTCCTCTATCCTAGTCCAGGTCCCCCGTGCCACCCTCATATTCCTGAAGCCCACACGCATAGACTTACTTTTACACTGCATTGTGTGGCATTTATAGTTTATGTGTAAATGTACCTCGCACCTAACTTGGCTCAAGTGCCTTAAAGTCAGGAGCATTGCTTTATTTGTCCTTCTGTTTCTAGCATGTAAAAGAATGCTTGTGGGCCAGCCAGTGGCATTGTGGTTAAGGTGGCAGGATCCCACCTATCCAACTGTATGGGTTCAAACCCTGGACCCAGAAGCTTGAAAAACATGCTGCCTGAGTGTGTGTGCATGCCCAAAATCATGAAAAAAGAATGGAGGAGAAAGGATTGTGGCATGACCATCCCCCTGTGGGGAATGCTTTCTCACTCCTCCCACCCCATCCTGTCTCTCTCTAGTGAGTGCACACACCCTCTGGCAAACAAAGTTAAATAAATGAATAAACAAACAAACAAATAAAAGAATGCTTATTCTATCCCATTTCCTCAATAATTATTGACAGTAACGTCTTTATTTTTTTTGGAGAGGTTTTTGCTATAGGGCGCGTGCCCTCGCCAGACAGACAGAGAGAGAGACAGAGAGACAGAAAGTGAGAAATCACCCCAAAGGGGGGATGGCCACACCGCAATCCCTTTTCCTCCATTCTCCTCTCGGGATATTGGGCATGTAAGCATACGTGCCCGGCGTAAGTTTAAGCTACCGGGTCCGGGACTCGAACTGTGGTCAACTATGTGGGAGTCCAGCAACATAGCTATTACGCTAACTGCTAGTCTCAGTAACGTCTTTATTAAATTACTGATTAATAAATGACCCTTTCCCCAAACAAACTGGATCCCAAACAATCCCTCTCTACTCGAAGGGTGAACGAGCAGGTGCTTGATGAGCAGCACTACGGTAGGTGCTTCGCAAAGATCCGCAGTGCTAATTCTGAGGCACTGGGGAAGATCTTAAATGCCTTGGCAGTCGTCAAAGAGTGGGCGTGCCATCCGGCTATGTGAATGGCTGTAAGATTACATGTTCCACATTGCCTTTGTTAATAATCCTATTCTGTCCTTTTCCTTTCTGTGTTGTGAGAGTTGAGCTGCTTAAACTGCCTTTAACTAATAGAATTATAGTACTTAGCCTTGAAACTAGTTTTTTTGTTTTTGTTTTTGTTTTAACTGCTGGTGAAAATAAGTCAGAAGAGGAGAAAATCATCTCGCTTCTGCAGCTCAGTATTTCTGGTTTGAGAGCTGATCGGTTTAGAATTTGCCCTGACTGTGGACAAGTGCTTTTTTCCTCTCCATGCTAATTGAGGCTTTCCAGAGGGAGTCTCCACACGCAGCTGGGAGTTAAAGAGTGTGTAGAAAGGTCCCAGGGAGTGACACCATCACCTGCAAACACTGCCTTTCCTCAGGGGCTAGGTTATTCCAGCCCATTTCCCCAGTAATTAGTGGCAATGCCTCCTTCGTCAAAATTACCAATTAACAAAACCACCTCTCCTCCCAGCAAGCTGGATTCCAAATAATACATCTCTTCACTGTAAGGATGAACAGGAGCTCATTTGTTATTATTTTTATTACAGACTATTATTTTTTTAAGAGTGGTTTTTGCTATAGGGCATGTGTGCTTGCCAAAGAGACAGAGAGACAGAAAATGAGAAATCACTTCTCAGGGAGTCAGCTATGCCACAATCCCTTCTCCTCCATCCTCCTCTCAGGGTTTTGGGCCACACACATCCCGTGTGAGTTTTAAGCCACCAGGTCTAGGACTCGAACCATAGTCGACTATGTGGGAATCCAGCAATGTAACCATTACGCTATCTGCTGGCCCTCAGACAATGATCTTTTAAGAAAGTTGATATTTAAATCCAGACTATGGTCTCCACACCACTCGACAGCCTCCCCTCCTGATGTGTCTGCAGGTCATTCAGGTATTTTGCCCATGTATACTGCTTTGCCTCTGAGACTGTCTTTCTGGGCTTCTGGTTGTCACAGATGAGCAACCTCGTGGCCTCCCAGATAATGAATTATGCCGATGTCAGCTCCCGTGCCAACGCCATCGAGAAGTGGGTGGCAGTGGCGGACATTTGCCGATGCCTGCACAACTACAATGGCGTGCTGGAGATCACCTCAGCCTTAAACAGAAGTGCCATCTACAGGCTGAAGAAAACCTGGGCCAAGGTGTCCAAGCAGGTGAGCGTCGCCCGTAGCACATCCTGCTGCTGAGAGGAGTGGCTGGGGGGTGAAGCCCAGAGAAATATGACTAATTAACTCATTCACTGAGACGAACAGCTCACCTGCCAAAGAAAGGTGCCAGCGTGGGTAATTACTGTGCTCTTACCACTTCATTGATTCCACTCGTGCATTTCTGAAACATTCATTAAAACATTTGGGGACCACCTCCAACAGCGTGGCTGTCAGTCAGGAGCACATGGATTCTGAGGAAGCCCAGTGATGGCCAATACATGCATTTTTTCTCCCCTAAAGTAAATACCTGAGGGCCTAGTGACCTCTGTGTGCACCTTTTTCTTTGTTGCTCATGTAGTAAAAGTTTGGCCTCCTGACCTAGATGTGTACAGACAGGGCTGGTCCCATAGTACCTCGGGTTAAGTCCTGTGTGTGGAGATCCAGAGCCAGATCCCACATTGCAGCAACACTGACATACGTATGACTGCCTGGAATCCTCGGAGACTCCAGCACAACCGCAGCCCACTTGGGTCCAGGCCCTCTGGAAATTTATATATATATATATATATATACACACATACACACACACATATATATGTGTGTGTGTGTCTGCATTTATATGTAATTAGGTGATATACATTTATAAAAGATTTTCTGAAAAGAAGTATAGAAATATAACTTTGTCAGTTTTCTTTCATTGGACTTGACTTACCCCTGTCTGCCCTTTCCCATTGAGTTAAAATTGACAAAAAATATGGAGACCAGCAGTTAGTGTAATGGCTGTGTCGTTGGACTACCATGTAGTCGACCGTGGTTCGCGTCCCGGACCCAGGGGCTTAAAACTCACGCCGTGTGTGTGGGCATCAGTGCCCAAGATCCCGAGAGGAGAATGGAGGAGAAGGGATTGCGGCATGACCATCCCCCCTGGGGGGTGATTTCTCGCTTTCTGTTTCTATGTCTCTTTCTGTCTGGTGAGTGCATGCGCCCTATAGTGAAAAACCTCTCAAAAAAAAAAAAAAAAAAAAAAAACTCACAAGTCCTTTTTCTTTTTCAACAAAGCTCAGACTTTGCAAGTGAAAGCCATAGATTTTATAAATAGTCTTAGAATAAAATAAAAGAACCACACTTTTAGTTTTGAGGATGATCATAGATTTACATGCAATTGTAAGAAATAATATAGAGATTCCCTGCAGCTTACACCCAGTTTTCCCAATGGTAACATCTTGCATAACTTCAGACAATATCACAACAGGAAGTGAATGCTGGTTCAACTCACCAATCTGTTCTGATTTCACCAACTGTATTTACATGTACTTGTTTCTGTGTGTGTGTTAATGAATTTAGTTCTAGGCACTCTAATTACATGGAGAGGTTTGTGTGAACATCCACAGTCAATACAGAACAGTTCTATTATGAGGATCCCTCCTGCCATGCTTATGTAGCCACAGTCACCTCCCTCCCTTCCTCCTTTCCCCACTCCTGAAAACTGCTCAATTGTTTTCCATGTCTATAATTTTGTCATTTCAAGAATGTTTTCCTTCACTCTTTTTCTCTGAAACTGACACCAAGAGATCCCTAAATCTTCCTTAAGAAAGCTTCCTGGCCTTCTCTGCAGTGATAGTCTTGCCTTTGAGAGGACACAGGATTAGGGAAAGCGGGACTAACCAGAAAATAGGGATGATAAGACTAAAACTGGAATTGTTGTTTCAAATTTTGAATCTACCACTCGTAGAGGCATTAAATAGAATATGCCACATCAGCTGCATGTGGGGGTCACTCACAGTGGCCTTAGCGTGGGCTAACAAACCATCCTTCTTAGGTGCCATTTTCTGTGGCTCTCTCCAGTCACAGCAGGTAGAGTTGGCCCCAGTTGTGCCTTGCTTCAGGCATCTTTGGTGAAGCCATCTGCTCAGACATGTCCAGAGGGCTCTAGCGCTCTGGAGCCCACCACATTTGGTCTGTGTCTGCAGAGTGGGCTGTTAGTCTGTGGTTTCTTAGGGCCACAGCTAGCCCTGCGTCAGGCAGGAGGTCTCCCAGTTCCCTCAAAAACCAGGATGGGAAAGGCAGTCCTTCGAGTTATTCTGAAAACTCTCACACAGCTGTGTAGTTCCTCTCTGGGCTGAGACAAAGCGTAGTTTGAACGCTGGAAACCCAGACATTTCCAAGTGCTACTCCCTGTACAATCTGAAGTATTATGACCCAGCCAAGCCGTCTGGGTGTGGGTATCACCAAAAATGGGGCATTCTCTGCCATTCTTCCATGTCTTTGGAAGAAACATCCATTATATGTGTATGTATAATGTGTATATGTAAATAATATCAGTCATACTTTTCTAATAAATTGGTGAAGATGACCATAAAAGAAAGGATTTGGAGTAGAAGATAATTGCTCAGTCCAGAGCATAGCAACTAAACGTGTGCTTCCATGGTTTAGAGGTGACGGTTCCCAACATGAGACTTCTCCTTTAAGGTTCTTTATTCAACAGTTGCTTTTCAGTTCCTTAAGTTTGCCATGCATTACAGTTTTCTTTTTCTACATATTTTCCATTTTCCTGACTAAATGTGAAGATTTAGGCACTTTGTCTTTTTTATATGTTCTTTTTTAAGCATTCAGTGTAGACATAATGCCCTATCTCTGTACTATGAGAAGTATATAATGTCTCAGTCCATTTTCTGCCATTACAACAGAATATCAAAGACTGGGTAATTTATAAAGAAAGATTCTGGAGACTGAGGTATCCAAGAGGGTCTTCTTGCTGTCATGAGAGGGTAGAAGGTGTCACATGACAAGCAAGTGTGTGAGACAGAGAAAAAAGGAGGTCCAACTTATCCTTTTAGCAGGAGTCCACTCCTGGGATCATTAACCCAATCATACAATCACAGTATTAATCCATTTATGGGCAGGGTCCTCATGACCTACTTACCTCTTAAAGGGCCCCACCTCTTTACTCTGTTACAGTGACAATAAAATTTCAACATGATTTTAAGAGGGGAAATACATTCAAACCCAGAACACAGTGTCCTTTATTCTGGTAAAGGTATCATCATCTCTTACTGTAGAAGAGAATCGATCTCTTTTGACAACTTACCATCTTATCAAATCATCATTCATGATGTACTATTTTTTTTCTTTCTTTCTAGACAAAAGCTCTAATGGACAAACTTCAGAAGACTGTTTCATCTGAAGGAAGATTTAAAAATCTCAGAGAAACTCTTAAAAAGTATGTCTATTTTGGTTATTAAATGATTTATAATTGAGAAATGTTTTAAAATAATTTATATATGTAAACATACAAATTATGATCTGTCTCCAACTTTGCTTTGAAATGAAAAGCAAATGAGAACTAATTTCCACCATCTGGGTATTTTTCTTGCTTTCCTTTTCATTAGGAATACTTCCATACAGTGAGTGGCTTATAGGTGAACTCATGGTTTTCAGAGTATTCCAAATAAGAGAAAAAAAAAAAGCACCACAATAAAGAACCATCTTTTGGCATAAAAAAGTTTATCCATTGGTATTTTCTAATCTAAGTACAATGATTTCCTTTATTTGTTCAAATGTCCCAATCACATGTTGATTATTGTATTTTATTTTTTGCATTTTATTTCTGGATAATTCTCTCCTCTCCCTTTCTCTCTCATGCACACACATACACATACACACAGACATGCACACACATCAAGGCATAGAATCTATTCTCCTGCAGCTGGTTTTCTCATGACACACTACACATATTATACTTGATGTACTCCAGAAAAACATTACTCTTCTGACAGCACAAGGACTCATAATGACAATAACAATAGCAACAAGAATAGCAATAATAGTACAAGAGCTATTTACTGAATGTTTAAATGACAGATTCAATGCTAAGGCCTCCTTTGTGTTATCTAAGCCTCACAGCAACTTAGCCATAAGCTTTATTGTCTCTGTTTTCCAAATGGGGAAACTGGGGTTCAGAGAGTTTGCCTTTATCACTTAGTAAGTGCTCAAGATGGGATTCGAACACAGTTCTTTCTACATCAATATCTCCCCCTAACCCCACCTTTTTTTGTTTAGGTTTTTGCCATAGAGTACATATATTCTCTAGAGAGAGACAGAAAGAGACAGAGAGAGGGAAAGTAAGAAATTACCACCACCACCCCACCCCCAGGGCAGATGGCCACACCACAGTCCCTTCTTTATTCTCCTCTCAAGATTTGGTCATGCATATACATGTGCCTAGAGTGATCCTCAAGCCACACGTCTGGGACTTGAACTGCTGTCGGCTTGTGGGAGTCCAGTGCCTTAACTATTATGTAACCTGCTGGCCCCAAAATCTGTGTTTTTAGCCTCAGGTCTCTTTGAGAAGATCAAGTATACCCATCTGCCTCCCAAACCAAACCAAACAAAACAGTCTCACTTTAGTATGCCATTGTGATCTTTGTTGTTTCTTTGTTTAATTTGCTACAGGGGTGCACTCACCAGAGACAGAGAGGGAGAGAAGGAAGTTGAGAAAGCATTCCCAGAGGGAGATGGTCATACCACAGTTCCTTCTCTTCCATTCTTCCCTCAGAGTTTTGGGCATGCATGCACACAAGTCCAGCATGTTTTTTAAGTTTCTGGGTCTTGGACTTGAACCATACAGTTGGCCATGTGGGCTCCTGCCACATTAACCACCATGGCACTGTGTGCTCCCAAGCAATTGCAATCTCCACACCTTCTAAAACATTTAAGTATGTACTAACTAAAACAGAAAATATATTTTGCTAGAGTGCAAAGTTCTAATTTTGTTGATGTTTCATCCAATTATTTACAGTCCAGTGTACGTGCTCAAATGAGATGAGGGCATAGGGGTTTTCCTATATACTTCTACCCATCAAAGAAGCATGGTCAATTTAGAAGTACTGCAGTCAATGCTAGCAAGTGTTTTGTATTTTTCTCTAAGACTTCCTGTTGCTTGAGCACACCATTGTCTCAAATACAAAGTAAAGCATGGGTTATAATTTCATATTGTATTCTATTGTGAAATGTATTTAAAACTCTGCATATCATGACTGCTCTTCTGAAAACAAAATAGAAGATTTTTGTTCTTTAGGTATTGAAGCAGCACCGTTGCTTCCTATTTGAACTGGGGAGGGAAATAGGCATTTGTGTTAATGAGCCTCTTGGTCTTGCAGTTGTAACCCCCCAGCAGTTCCTTATCTTGGGATGTACTTGACAGACCTGGCATTTATTGAAGAAGGAACACCAAACTTTACTGAGGAAGGCCTTGTCAATTTTTCCAAAATGAGAATGGTAGGTGGTAACTTTTATCAACCTGATTTAATGACTGTAGTGGCTTAGAGAGAAGAGGCTAGGTCATGAAAGTCAGTGTTTGTTTTTTAACCTCAAGGTAGAAGAGATGATGGATACCAGTGTAATACCTGATATTGGCCAATTGAGGAGATTTTTGGCCAAGCCATTTCAGCCTGCAGTCTGGGCCAAGTGGGTGGAGAACGTAGCTCCAAGGATGAGTTTTTAGGAACAACCAGTGATAGATGGTGAAGGGCTTCTTGCTAGACAACCAGGTTCTAATACCGAGCAATAAGTGTTCAAAGGCACCCAGAGCTTGCCTGTCCCAAATCTGAGGTCTACCAGTGCCACCTGTTCCCCTGATTATGAATTAAGCATCTCCTAGCTGTTGGCATTTCACATGGCTTCTTGAAGGACAGGAAAGTTCCTGGCATAGAGAATGATCAGGTAGGATGGAGAAAAGTGACTGACAGCTCTGGGAAGAGGCCCTGGAAGAAGGTGCTGGAGTCCAGGGAAATGACTTTGCTTTACTGTTGTTGTTGTTGTTTTCTCTGTTAGATATCACACATTGTCAGAGAGATACGCCAGTTCCAGCAGACTTCCTACCGAATAGACCATCAACCAAAGGTAATATTATATGCTTGTGAGGGGATGAATAAAGAAGAAAAAGTGGAAAAGAATAATTTAGAAGTCAACTGTAGAGTGGGTCAGTAATACCAAAATGCCCAGCCTTGATGGAGCAGTCGGTAACATACTGAGCTGCCGTGCCGAAGGCCACAAGGCCAATCATGAGTTCATGATGGAGCAGTCGGTAACATACTGAGCTGCCATGCCAAAGGCCACAAGGCCAACCATGAGTTCTGATCCTTGGCCCAGTCATCTTGAAGCACACTGGGTGCATGTGCATATGCCCAAAGTCCTGAGGAGCTAGAGGGCTGGTCCCAGTTTTCTGTATTTTTCTATGCAAGAATACGTCATGACTTTTCTATTGACCCAATACATTGTATTTCAATAAAAGTAAGGAAATATGTTTAAGGCCATGTCCCATATTCCAACATTTTCGTGTTGTTCTTTCATTTCATTTCTGGTGTCTACCTTAGCAGAACATTCACACATGAGCACCAAGAAGCATGCTAACCAGGATTTCACTGTCACTGTGTGTAATAGTGACATGCTGACAGCAACTAAGCATCTGTCAGTATGAGGCCATTAGCTAAACTCTGATATGTTGCACTGTTAATATCGTACAGCAGTTAGAGCTCTGTGTAGTTACAGGGCAGACACTCCATAATGTACAGTTTAAAAATGAGAGCAGCGTAAAATATACAGTATAATACCAAGTGCAATTATAGGGGGAAATTCTTTTTGTAAATATATGTCTTATCCATCTAAGATATATTATTATTTTAAATGCTTAAAAAGAAAATGCTGGATTCTATCAGATTCCCTTTAGGAAATGTATACAGGGTTGTCCTGAAAGGGGTTAACCATAAGATTTTTTTTTTCCTTTTCTTTCTCTTTTTTTTTGTGTGTGTGTGTGTGTGTGTGTGTGTAGGTCACGCAGTACCTGCTTGACAAAGCCCTCATCATAGATGAAGATACGCTATATGAGCTGTCACTAAAAATTGAACCTCGGCTCCCTGCTTGAAGATCTGGCTGTGCCCAAGTCCACAGAATTTTCATGGGAAGTGGGACAGACAGAATTGTGCATGCCATGCCTCACACAGTGCGGCGAGGACTGGGAGATGAAGCCCGTCTCCCTTTTCCACCGCAGAAGACGGAGCCCAACCGAATTCTGTCTCCAGCCAGAGAGAAACCCAACTGTTTGGGTCAAAAGACAGATGCTGCAGACTCGGGTGGGGAGGTGAAAAGATGAATATTTACTAAAGCTTATGGCGTCTTTTACATAAGGGAGTGTAAGATGGGAGATGCTAGTGGCCACTTAATGAAGATGGTAGGGAGGCAAATCCCTAACTTTGTCCTATGTTCTCTTAGAACTCAGGGGCGGGAGTCATGGGAAAGACCTGGGGTGTTTCTCTGGCACTTTACTGGCCTGGGCACACCTACCTTCTAGGATCTGACTTCCATCCCATTTCCTTGTGTTACAAGCTTCACAGAAAGCCGAGGCTTCCTTTTTAGGGATGGGCCAGCATATAAGCAATTTCAGTCTCCAGCATGTGCATGGTTTCCAGTGCATTATAAACATTTCTATTTGAGGAATGGTATGTTCTGAAACTGCCTTTCCATTCTCTAAGCAACAGGGCAGGAAAGAAATGAGGACAAGTGGATTTGTGCATGATAATTCAAAACAGGCTGTGCCATGGAGGAGGCCACCTAGTGGCTGTGTTGGGGTGAGGTGAAGGGTTTCTTGAGACTGTTAGTCCCAGAGGCCAGCCCTCTTGGAGAGATAGCTGCAGAGATTGCAGAAAGGTGCATGTCCACCTCACCGACAAAACTGTGGACCAAGAGAGAAGGCCACAAAGTGCTGTGGGAGTAACGGGTTTCAATGCTAAGTGAGAGCATACACCTACACATGAGCTCTGCATTTTGCTTGCTTACTTTCCTCTCCCCCTCTTTCTACAGTAGGCATCTATTCTAATGTCCTTTGGGTTTTTTTAGGCTCATTATGAACTTTAGCTGTATTTTGTAAAAGAAACCGTTTAGTGGGATTTTCTTTTAAAGCCAGCCCTTCCATGTGCCGTTGGTAGACAGTCCACCCCCAGCCCCAACCTCATCGTTGTTTAAACATGATTTTGAGATCTTTCTGAATGAGAATCCTGAACGTGCATGAGAAATAAGCCCAACCACCCAACAGCTCTTATATCAGAAAACCAAATGCAAGGGTTAGTCCTGCTACCCTAGGCTGGGGAAGTGACCTTACTTTTCCCAAGATTGTCGGCTGTTGCAGAAACAGGGCTATCTCATTGTTTACCTCCCTCTTCTCTTCTCAGGGAGACTGCTGCTTTAAAAGAAGGAAGAGAAAAATACAGTTGTTATTACCTGAGCCTGTCGCACCTGACATTTTCTCTCAGAGGCATGACACTTACTGATGCTAATAACGAACAGTTGATCTGTCTGGCTGTTGTCCCTCTTTCTTTGCACTTTAATTATGTTGGTAGAGCTAATACCTGACTAATAAATTATACTTACTGGCTCTTAAGACCCAGTGGAAGATAAAGTACCATAGAGATAGAGAATGTACGTGTTCTACGCAGTAAGGGCCTCTCTGTACATAACCATTTAGTGAAATATCAACTAAGAGGAAATACTGATAACATTTGAAGAATATTCCAGAAATATTTTCGATAGCTCATATCAGCCAACAGTGTAGCATTAAACCCAAGAAGGGTTACTTATGAATGCTTTATTCTCTTCCTCTCTCTCTCTCTCTCTCTCTCTGTCTCTCTCTCTCCCTCCCTTCCTCTTTAAGTTGCTTGTTTGTTCTCTTTAGTTTCAAATAAGAGGTTGATGCATCTTGATGCATGACGAGCATGGACTGTTTGGATCCTATCAGTGCATAACTTGTGAATCATTTCTCAGTGTTCAGAAACTGAGAGTTTGAAATATGTGTCAAATGCACCAAACACCTCAAGGTCTTATGAAGAAAAGTGAAATGAGGGTTAGCTTTCTTGGTTCAAAAACATTGTTTTGGAAGGTGCAGTAAAACCAGGACGTGTCACCTACCACCAGTGTCAGGCAAAACAACATGTGGCAAGGTTGGTGCATTCTGCTCTGCCTTAGAGTAGCTGAATTCTGCAGACAGGAAGGGACAGGTCTGTGTGTACTTTCCTTGGGAGTTTGGACTCATTTCTCTGAGCCAAATGTTCCAGAGGCGCTGAAGTCATCCTTATTACAGGAAAAGTAGGAGACAGAGGAATTTCCAAATGTTCCTCCCCTTTGGGAATGCAACTTTTCAGCTAAGTGACAAAGCTTTAGCGTCCATCCTTGCACAATATTGGAAGCGCCCCCCAGTGGTCAGCCGTGAGCACTGTGAATCACTATGCTGACCTTTATTACCTTATTTTATTGAGAGATACACTCCCTCCTGAGCCCTTGCTGAAGTTCCAAGAGGAAAAACTCCACACACACAAACTCCCCCACCCCCCGGCAAGGGGCTGTTTTTTTTTCTTTTTTTTCTTTTTTTTTATGACCTGCACCATTTGTGAGCCAGCTGGGATAGGACTGCACATTATAAAAAAAAACTCAATTTGATCACATTTTAAACCCCTAAGAGCAATGTACAGTGTTTCTGCTGATCGTTAAAAGTACTCACCCCGTCTTCTTCTGCCTTTTAAGCTTTGCGTGTATAGAGGCACACAAAGCATGCACTCCTAGCCGTGTCTGCCTGGATTCCATTATATGAGTCCCATTTTTAAGAGGCAATGGGAGGTCAGCCACTAACAGCCAAGTAGCAAACATTATACTGCAAAATTAACCCAGAAAATCAGAAGTAAAATCCAATTTTATGCTTTCGAATGAATACCCACATTTTGTACTGTCAATGGAATTATCTTGAGGCTTTTAGGGGATGCCTTTGGTTATTAACTAAGACATCCAGTTTTGCTATAGGGACAAATCTCTTACCCATGCCAATATATTATTTGACAGATTCAGGCATGAAGTAGAACGTTGTCACTTTTCCTTAGTATTTCTCTGAAGAAATTTAAAGAGGGAATTTTAAACTGCTGTTGCAATATTTTCAAGTGGCTCTCACACAAAACCCACTGTATTATTCATTACATTTCAATTCATCTTAAAGTTCTCCTTACAAACACATGAACTCATAGATTGAATAACCTGAATAACTTAAGAGGAAAAATCCATTATGCTCCCACTGGGAACTCTTTTGCAGAGAATTTAAGTGTACGTATTGTTTGTGTGTGGTAATGAAACTGCACCTCTTCCCTCATTATTCTACGAGACAGGGTCTTGGGCTAGCAAAGACTGAGCAGCTCTTATATTCTTAATTTAAAAGACATGTAATAGAGAAGTTATTCCCAATGAAATTCAATTTTATTTAAAAGCAAATGATTTTATTTAGCCTTTCTCTGCAATATTTGATTTTATTGCCCCTGGGGGAAAAAAAAAAAAGATCTCTCTCTTCAATGTAATTGTAAGAGTTTTCTAATTTAACCTGTGAATGTTATTGTTTTTACTGCGATTGAGATGGCATCGGGATACTATTTATTGCTGAAGAGTCACACTAATGTCCATAACCAGAAGAAATGAATGAATAAAGTTCATTATCATTTCAGTAAAAAAATCAAGCTGTGAGTTTAAGTAATGACCTAATTATAGACAACACTGTATGATTTTTGATAATAAGATTCGAGTCCATGAAATCTAATTAGAGTGCCATTTCTCAGTGACCATTGGTGACTTAAAAGTAAGGCAGGACAGAACTAAAGTGGAAAATAATTATTGTATTGTGGTTATAAACACACGAGTGATTCAGAAAATTACTCATCTCAGCTTCCACACACACAATATTAACACTAAGGTTGATTGTACTTGATCTGATCTACTCAAGGAAAATAGTAGTTCTACTTAATGATCTCGACCTATTGTCTTTCATACAACCTATTTCATTTTTCACTATTTTTTTTCTTTTTTTTCTTTTTTTTTATGACCTGCACCATTTGTGAGCCAGCTGGGATAGGACTGCACATTATAAAAAAAAACTCAATTTGATCACATTTTAAACCCCTAAGAGCAATGTACAGTGTTTCTGCTGATCGTTAAAAGTACTCACCCCGTCTTCTTCTGCCTTTTAAGCTTTGCGTGTATAGAGGCACACAAAGCATGCACTCCTAGCCGTGTCTGCCTGGATTCCATTATATGAGTCCCATTTTTAAGAGGCAATGGGAGGTCAGCCACTAACAGCCAAGTAGCAAACATTATACTGCAAAATTAACCCAGAAAATCAGAAGTAAAATCCAATTTTATGCTTTCGAATGAATACCCACATTTTGTACTGTCAATGGAATTATCTTGAGGCTTTTAGGGGATGCCTTTGGTTATTAACTAAGACATCCAGTTTTGCTATAGGGACAAATCTCTTACCCATGCCAATATATTATTTGACAGATTCAGGCATGAAGTAGAACGTTGTCACTTTTCCTTAGTATTTCTCTGAAGAAATTTAAAGAGGGAATTTTAAACTGCTGTTGCAATATTTTCAAGTGGCTCTCACACAAAACCCACTGTATTATTCATTACATTTCAATTCATCTTAAAGTTCTCCTTACAAACACATGAACTCATAGATTGAATAACCTGAATAACTTAAGAGGAAAAATCCATTATGCTCCCACTGGGAACTCTTTTGCAGAGAATTTAAGTGTACGTATTGTTTGTGTGTGGTAATGAAACTGCACCTCTTCCCTCATTATTCTACGAGACAGGGTCTTGGGCTAGCAAAGACTGAGCAGCTCTTATATTCTTAATTTAAAAGACATGTAATAGAGAAGTTATTCCCAATGAAATTCAATTTTATTTAAAAGCAAATGATTTTATTTAGCCTTTCTCTGCAATATTTGATTTTATTGCCCCTGGGGGAAAAAAAAAAAAGATCTCTCTCTTCAATGTAATTGTAAGAGTTTTCTAATTTAACCTGTGAATGTTATTGTTTTTACTGCGATTGAGATGGCATCGGGATACTATTTATTGCTGAAGAGTCACACTAATGTCCATAACCAGAAGAAATGAATGAATAAAGTTCATTATCATTTCAGTAAAAAAATCAAGCTGTGAGTTTAAGTAATGACCTAATTATAGACAACACTGTATGATTTTTGATAATAAGATTCGAGTCCATGAAATCTAATTAGAGTGCCATTTCTCAGTGACCATTGGTGACTTAAAAGTAAGGCAGGACAGAACTAAAGTGGAAAATAATTATTGTATTGTGGTTATAAACACACGAGTGATTCAGAAAATTACTCATCTCAGCTTCCACACACACAATATTAACACTAAGGTTGATTGTACTTGATCTGATCTACTCAAGGAAAATAGTAGTTCTACTTAATGATCTCGACCTATTGTCTTTCATACAACCTATTTCATTTTTCACTAGAAAGCCAGGCTTCCCAGCCCCACGTCCTCGCCTGGATCTGCATCTACTGGCTGTAGTTGAAAGCCTTAGGCCAGTGTTTACACCGCCCAGAGTCTCAGTTTCCTCATCTGCACAGTGAGATGAGCTCCTGTGTTGCCTACCTCACAGGGCTGTTGTGAGGACCAAATGGTTTCGACCGTAACTGTAAAGTGCTGTCAAATGTGAGGTCACATGATGACCATCCTCAGCTCTCTTTTGCAGAGGATTTAAATGTATTTATTAATTGTGTGTGTGACGGACAAACACATGTGTTGGTTGGAGATGCATATTGTTTTGTGTTAGGTTACTTTGCAAATCTGCACACTTGTGATTTCGACAGAAGGGTTTGTGCTGAGACCCTGATGCTTGCCGAGTGAGGTGTAGGTTATGCCTATATGCAAATTAAACTTTGCCTTTCTTGAATACTTGAAAATCTTGTTGGTTTCTTCACTTAACTCTTTTCCCATTTTCCCACACTGTCTTCTTTTAGCAAGGATCTCCTTTAACTTTTGTTTTACTTTGGAACTTTGGAAGATGAGAGAATCAGTTTGGAAGACACTGATGCTGCAGACACTAACAGATCAAAGAATTCAGGGGATCTCAGAAAAAATAGGAAGGATCATCTAGTCCTCTTTCTCTCCAATGTTTAAATCTATTCTGTGTTGTCCTAGTCTATCTTTGACTACCTCCACGCACAGAGAACTCACTACTGCCCAGAAGGCTCAGCTCCTCCAGTGGCAGCTCAGTAATCCCGAGTAGGCCATGGAGAGAAGAGAAGCTGCTGGGATGGGGTCCTGGCCCAGCTGTCACTAGCTTCTACTTGAGATGGGCTCCTGAGCCTTCGAGGTATGTCCTTTTCTGTAACTAAGACTCACATCTACCCCTGGCATGACTACAGCACGCACATGAGATAATGCAGGGGAAGAAATTTGAGCTTTCGTCAAGGAAGTGAAGTTGTCCTCACATCTAGGGGTGCTGAGCACAGAGCCAACAGCAAGGGGGCCCTCCTGCCCAATCTGCTTCCATTTCCAAGTCTGAAATGAACAATCCAGCTGGTGGGGATTCAGGAGCCCAGGTTCCTCTCATTATTATTTGACCATCCCACAAGGCATTGAACTTGCCTGCGAGGTCAAATCTGGTCATGTCCTAGCTGGCTTTAGTAACAAAAAACAAAACAAAGCAAAAGCTAAAACAAAAGGCAGGCAGGAGACGTCTTTAGAAGCAAGTGACATGGCAGTTACACATTTCACTCCTATCCCTGTCCCTCTGGCAAAAGCCAGATTTATGGCCACACTGGTTAGGAAGTATAGATAGAGCCCACCAAGTTTTGAAGAGAATCAGCAACAATGAGAAAGAACTGAGTGACACATGACAGGGATTGTGTTTGAAGAATTTTCAGAAATCTGGAATTCCTTCTGAGTCAC